TGCTGAACCTATGGCGCTCAAAGAAAGTTCTCTAACGTGAACTGGAGTATCTGTATTCAAGATCTCAAAAAGCCTTTCCATTAAAGTTGGTAAATATGGTAGAAGACTTTCATCTAAATTTTCACAAAACATTTCTAGTGCATAAAACATACGATCAACTGAAGGTGGTTCTTTCTTTTCTTGCTTAATATGCGCGCATATTTGACCAAGATATTCAAATAATACTGGCAACAATTCGGAAGAATATTTTGAAATATCTGGTTGTAAATGTTCAGAAAATTGCCCAAGAGCAAAAAGTGCAGCATTTCGTACCACAGGAATAGAGTCACTAATTCCTTGACATGTACAACGTAAAAAGGATTCAAGATATTTAGTGCGAATATATTCTGAACAACCTTCTGCTAATACTGCCATTGCTAGGTATGATGCTTTTTTCGCATATACATCTGAACCTTGCAGGCTAGGTTCTATATATTGTAACTATGAAAGTAGAATTACAATGAAATATTAAATCTTTGTCTTACAAAAGATATTATATAAATAATTTAAAATATTTTAAATCATACCAATTGAGGAATTAACTTTTCTGGTGGCAAATGAAGTGCAAGTAAATCTAAAGTTTGTGTAGCACAAGTTACAGGTGTATTGTCTTCATTATAACCAATAAAGTAAACTTCATCATTATCATCCTCAGGTCGTGTAGACATAAGATTAAACAGCATATCTGTAAATTTATGTTAGCAAATTATATTATTATATATGTTCAAAAATCTATCTAGGATATTAATATATCTTGCCTATAATGGGTTCGACAAGTTTATGTTTGATTATGGCTTTCTTCTTAGTTCTAGCTAACCAGCCAATAAAGCCAACTGCTTTCACTCTGAGAGCATCATCTAATGCTTTGTTGCCAGTAATAGCAAGACACATATTAACAAGAGGTTTAACATGTGGTGCTATTACAGAAATTGCATTTTCACATAATTCATCTAATAATTCGAAACATTCAATAGCTTTAACTTCATTGCTAGTAGTAAGAGATTGGATTGTAGTCATTACAAGTGGCATCATTTGATGATAAGCATTTACCATCTATGGAAATAATTTATTATTGAACATAATTTAATGATATTTTTAATAAATTTTTAATTATCATCTATAACTCACCATTTGATTACCTTTAACTAAAGGAACAAGATTCTGCATTATCCGTAAAACATAATATGCTACAGGGTTTCCTAAGTCTTGTAAACTATTCAATGTTTGTCCCAAGAGCATTGCAAGTGATGTAGCATGTGCCTGATATGCATCAGGTGCAATTTCAGTCATAACTGATAAAGTATAAGTTCCCAACTGTAATATAATTATATTTTACAAAAAACAGTCACAAAAATATTTAAAATAGTTACTATTACATGTTATACCTCTTTATCCATTAAATTGTCACTAGTAACTAGTTGTTGTACAAACTGTAAAACTTCTGGCCATCCATTATTAGGCAATTCGTGTTTTACTATTACACCTATTAATTGTGCAATTGCATTCTTGACAAATTTTTCTGGTTCATTCACTAATGCCTAAAATAATAATAAAAATTATGTGGATTTTTAGTTAAAATATAGTTTACAAAATAATGAACATTTTACCTGTAAAATTACTGTCTTAAATTCATTACGTATATGTTGTGGCAATTTTAACCAATGTTTTCCTTTATAGCGCTTTCTAAGTAATATAACTCCATATTGTCTTATCTAAATATAGATTGTTTTTTGTTATAAGAGATTCAGAATACAAGAAAAACATTTCTGTATTAAAAATAAAAACCTGTGGATTTGTTGATGATACAATAAGTTGCCATAATGCCGGTATACTTTCTGGTTTCTTAAAAGCTTCTCTAAGTTCTGCTGTTCCCTGTGAATATTGTATTAATATAGTATTTACTTATGTGAAAATCTTTTTAACATCAAAAATTATACTATTAAGTACGTATGATTATTCTTAGTTAATAAAGAAATTGAATCATATGAAATGTGTATTAAAATGTCAAAAATAGCTATAAGGAAAGAAATTTAGAAAAATAAAATACTTAATCAACTGTACAAAGTAATTTATAAAAAAATATAGTATTTTTTGTTAAAACACATAATGTGGATTAAATAAAATAAATTCGACCTTGCTTTAAGTCATTATCAATAGGAGCAAACACGTGTTTTGAACACTACAAAATTTACTTCTATTATGGAGTATTACTTCTTTAGATGTACCTGTTGAATTGATGCGTTATCGGCTACAAGTAATTTCAGTATTATTTCTTCCATTATTGGTATAGTATTACTAAACAAAATATATACTCAACAATATTTCCGAACAAAGTAGCCGGCTGTCTACTACCGCTTTTCTGACCTGTTGGTGATGTCCTTATGATACTTTAAAGCGCATGTGCAACATTCTACCGATAAGATAGTGAACAAAATTTTTTTAGAATCAATTATCTCAATCATAGATTAATTTAAAATAAATAAAAAATACAGTCTATGATGGTATTAAGTCTTATCAAGAAATTATTTTGATAACTGAAATAATTTGTTCTTTCTAAATTAAAGTATTACTGCTACAACTCATGAAATTTATGTAGTGACTGTACAAGATACGAGTTCTGTAGAGGGCATCTCGAGCAGTACGTTTTACCAAGTGAATACAAATTTCTAGTTACAGAAATTTGAAAATCTATTAATTATTTCCCTTAAAATGTACGTGAACAATACTATATATTCTCGTCGAAATGCACAGGCGTACAGAAAATGAATTATTCTGTAAATTTACAAATCATTATGATAGAATTGAAAATTGCAAGTAGAATCAATCTAAGAGAAGGTAATTTATTGTAAACAATTAATATTAAGATACATCTTAATATTGGCAAATTAATTTTATCTTAATTTAAGATTGATCTTTTTGTTTTCATGTCTGTGCAGTGTAAGAGCGTTTGTTCCGACTTTGTCTAGCCTCGAATCGCGTCGAGCAGTTTATTATTTTAGAGCGAACCCCTTCCTCTTATATTCCTTTTCTTCCTCTATTCCTCATTTATCCTTTTTTCGATTCGAACTCTCTCTGTTACTTCTCTGTCGTAAACGTTCCGATACGGAGATGCCTTGAGATAATGCAGAATTCTTTGGATCGAGGTTTCAAAAATTCACGTACGCATTAGTTCGCAGAAAAAAGTCAATCATTATTAGAGTAATATTTTAAATTATACCTCTTTGTTATTCTTGTTATTTTTTTTTGTAATTTAATTAAAATTTACTACATTTTGAATAACCTAGAATAATAAATATGACTAAAAATATTTTTATGTTCCTTGCAGAGTTTTAAGGACCAGCTCTTCATTTCGATTTATGTACACTGAAAGTGGATCCTCATAATTGCCTTAAGTGGATGCTCATTAATTCAAGTATAACTTTACCTTAAAAAATCTTTCTGAATAGGGGTACAATTATCAGGTAAGATGGAATAAGATAAATAGAGTTATTATAAATAAAAGTTATGGCAAATAGATAATATTCGTTCTTAGTAGTAAAATTATGAAACAAAAATCTGTTAGTTCACCAGATAACAACTGTAACAAAAAATAGACTGATAATTTTCTTTTATTGGATGAGAAAGTATCGCAGAAATAAGAACAGCATGAACCACGGGCAAAGATGACCTGTCAACAACGTCATTGAGTAACTTCTCTTGCACCTCGTGCATATTCGTCGTCTGTCTTACGTGCATTCTGGACGACGCAGATGAGAAGTGGTTCTTTTCGTACCACTTTAGTATCTGGATCGCGTGTTATTAATAAAAAACAGAAAATTGACTGGTAAACACGTCAACGAAACGGAATAAAATATTAAAAATCTTATTTCATAAGAAATTTTGATAAAAAATAACAACATTAACAATTAATTTATAATACTACTAAGGAAACTTGGTGAAAGAAACTTCAACTTTTTTTTATAAAGAATGGAGCAACATTTTCATTGCAAAATCTGACATTCGAATATATCTACCTCACAGGAAAATTGAGTTAACTTAATACATTCAAGGAGAAGGACGGATCTTTGGATCAGCAGGGAGAGAAATCTTAATGCGAAATTAATGTCGGTTATGAATCTGTTTCGTGTAAGCCAATACCACATGCGATCAGCCATCTCGCATAGCGGTCTCTAATTTATTATATAAGCAATCTCGTGCCTCTTGATTCTCTAATTCGATTCAAGGAAATCACCAATAGATAGCAAAGCTTGAATTCGTGAAACAAAGGGCTATCTATTTGTAAATGGTGCAATGAAGTTCATCACTGCATTTATATCCAAATATATTACAGCACAATATATTTTATCGAAATCATGCAATGAGTACATTGAAGTGTATTTATTATATACTTGTATAAGTATACTTGGATTTAATTTCTTGATTCATTTGTAAATTTTCCAAGCGCTTATTTTCTCTCCTGTTTCTTTCCTTTGACCATGATAATGAAATCTGGACCGAATGTCACAGCATTATTTTTGGATTTGACAATGAGATCGATAATCAGGCTAAGTTTCCGCGGAAAAGCGTAACATGTGATTTATAAGAATGCCGGTAAAAGGAGCCGACACTATTTGAACACGTGACGAAGAAGAACGTGCGAGGAAACTTCATATTTCTCAAATAAGTGCATCCCGGCTGGTCGAAAGGAACGTCCAACTTGTTCTTGTCATTTTTATGGCAGGGACCGACAACAAGCTGTTTCAAAAGAAATCTGTCGCGCATTACTACTACTAGAGAACGTTACTATCGCTCACGACCATATTATCTTTTTTATAACCTTCCTGCGAAGGATCTAGAGCTACTGGCTCCTCTTTGAGTCCTCCAAGGGAACAGCGGAATCTTTGGTGCTTGGCCCTTTTTATATCCTTTTTTCTTTCGACGAAGAAAAAGAATGAAAAGACGAAGTAAGTTTCTAAGATAGTAAAACCCTCTTATTTGAATTTGTTCTTTTTTAGCAAAGAATTATTAAAATTGTAAAGGATTTTGTTAAATTTTATTTGAAATAAGAAATGATTAAAGTTGTCGAAATGTAATCGTAAGAATTTTAATAATAGAAAATTTTGTTGAACTAAAAGACACTATGCTCCAAGCCGTCTGGTGAACGAAAGGAGTTCTTGGAATTGATTTATGAAGAGAAATAAGGGATTAGGAAAGAGAGTTTGTGCTATCAACAAATGCTTTATCGTCACCGCAAAACCATCGTGTGACATCATTAATATTTAGCTCTCTCTGAAATACATCATCGGCAGTTATAGATTGTCTTAACTCGCGGAAGTATTCCAAAACCGTAACATACCATCATCGATTCTTTATGTACGATAAAAAAGCGTCAACATGATTCAAGCAACAATGAACTTTCTTCTTTCTTTCATTTTTAACAAAGAATAGTTTGTTTACATATATCTTCGATTCGCGGCGAACGACATTAATTAGTAACATTTATTCGCAGCTATAAATATAAATAAAACTTCAATCTACACTATTATCGAAGCGACCATTTAAAAACAGATTTCTTCTTTTCTTTACAACTTATACATCCGCACTCAAATAGATTCATCCGCGCTAGAGTTTCGATCGTATGTCTTACTAGATTCTTCTCTATAGCACTGTTTCGAAATTTCGTTACCACTAACGTTACAAATAGTACGTTCTTTTGCTTTGTTCCAGATTGACACACGTTCACATACTGTATTTGATCTGATCATAGTACATCGTCGTCGGCGGTGCCGTCGTCGTGTGATGAATGTTCGAAGAAACTGTGCCAGGTATATTTGATATACTCAAACCACCGATATTGCTCAAGTTAAGTGAGCCTAGAGAGCTTAACGAACTCAGGGTAACTGATCCGCTGGGATGGCCAAAGTAGGATGGTTTACGATCAATAAGTCCACCTCCAGAACTGTTGGAATTCGAGTTTGAACATTGCATCTTTATCCCTGAAACACAAAGAAAAATTTTGTATTCCACAAATGTTCTAACTTTTTGAAACTTTGCAGTTAAGTGCTGTTTCTGAATGAGTGAACTTCAAAAAGGTTTAATGTAGGGGAATAGGGCCACACATGGAGAAACTAGAAGAAATGAAGAGGAAAAAGCGAAAGACCTCACGATACGAAATCAGTCCTTGTATAGGTACGATAAATCTGAATCTCTGGCAGCTCTCAAGTAGTTCTTCTTCAAGTATGCACTTCACTCGTGTCTCAACTCCCGTCTTTGTCTCTTTATTTTTCTCTCTTACTTGTTCATTTTTGCTTTACAGATTTTCCTATGCACATTTTACGTATTTACAAAAAATATAAAATTCTTCCGCTACTCTCTAAGTATGATAAAAAGAGAAGAATACGAGAGAGTATTGTTTTATCTGAAACATATACGAAACGTATCAGTAGAGAAATAATAATAAAGTAATGGTAAAGCTGATCCTGGAGAAAATGTATTAAAATCGTTGAGGGCGATTAACGCGTTGCATGCTCAAAGGCGAAGCATTTTGATAGCAATTGGAATTCGGTTTAATTCCAGATCGAAGGCAAGTGTAACGAGGATTTTAAAACAGCATCGTGTGTGGTCTGAATCTGCCGTCAGTCAAAATCTCTGCCGACCTCTCCACCTCCGATGAATTCAAAGTTTTCTGACTGTTCAAGTAATCTATCCCTCTCGTACACGCGTATTTCTTGTACTTTTTCCTTTCCTTTCTAGCGAGACACATTCGAACGTCCCGCCGAAATACAGTGTTAGTAAAAGAAGAGCACAGAAGCGGTTTCCTGAGCGAATATCAGCGGCCGTCGTGCCAACAACGATGCCATAGTCGCGGAGTAGAGAGATCGCTCCAGAAATACATCCCGAGACCAGGGTAAAAGAAAAAGAGAAAGAGGAAAACTGGGGCCTACTGAGGCGTCTGCAGATTGATTTCGTTTACACTTTACTGACTGAACGAGAAAAGAGAAGGAAGAGAAGGAAGAGCAACTGGGGAGGAGGGTGCGTGGGTGGTACGTTTATCCCTTGTCGATGCCACGGTGTATCGAGGTGGAGAGAAGGAATAGATTGTACTTATAACGCGAGTGCGTGAATGAGAATGATCTGTTGATCGTCATAGCAAATATCATCGATTCTGGCATCATTTAATCAAAGATATTAATCCCTTTAATTGAATTTTTAAGTTTAGACGAAATATTATTTAATAATTGCTTTAGAATTGGATGTAGTATTTATAGAATCAGATCAAATGTTACAGAAGATTACTATTTGAGGAAATTCTTCATTCATTATCGTACGAGTAGTCAGGTCTACATCGAGACTACGAAACCACAGACTGAAGTCGGTTCTGTGGAAAGGTTTAATAAACGGATCAGTTAGTGTTTGAGGCAGCTACATTCGATGTACTTAGATTAAAGAACATCTTGTTTACCTCACTTGTAAATGTTTACGCGATAAGCGATTTGAGACCTCACTTACCAGCACGTGACTACCGGTATCTAATACAAGAAAAAAATCATGTATTTTCGTTCAGCACGATCATTTGTTTATCGCACGACTGGACGTAGTAAGCTTTTGCATTCACGAAATTGATTCATTCATAAACGAGATAAACATAATTCAACACTCTAGAATGTTTTCCTCGATACATTACTCTACCATAGATCATTTTTGTAACACGTGCTACAATATTAAATAGTTAATATCAGACGTTCATTGTAATGTAAAGAAAATGGCATACACTGTATGGCGCCATAAAATTTCCCTTCATAGAGAAATATTCGTATTATGACATAGCTGGTGATTCAATAAATTTCTGTGAATGTTTCACTGCTGACGTTTAACGAGTGTATAATTACCGGCTCTCTGTTAACTGTCCTGGGTTTCCACGCTAAATTAATCTAAACCAGAGGCACACCGAGATTTTCTGTCACGCCGCGTTACACGTGTTATGTTACGAGTTACGAATTACGACTGCTCGCATGGGCGTGACAGGAATGTCACCTCAGCTAATAGGTGCTGTCAGCTACGGTGATTTCGTGTCTGTCGGCATCGCGCGAAGAGTACTTTCGACGATGTTATTAAACGGAAACTGACTTTTAAATTTACTCGTCCAGGAAGTTCCTTTCTAAATATTTGTTTACACTTGTATACAATATGCAATTATCAATATTTATAGCTAATAAGTCGATATTAAAGGAACCACGAATAATGGTAAAATATTAATTTTTAAATATGTAAATTTTGAATAGGTTTTTAGAAATTGAATTTCAAATTTAAATCTCATAGCTTTCAATTGTATGACTGTATAATGCGTCGGAATACTTTTTGAACAAGTATTGTAAAGCTTTACGATGGCCGGCGCCTGTTAGGTCGTAAACTGTGCGATTTTCCACATGGCCCTCCAACTGTCATGAATTGTCATTGTTGTCTTCGGCTCCAAAGTCTTGCGCTAGTCTCACGATTCGATTTGAAGAGAACAATAGATTTCTGGGAACATATCTACCTTGAACCTTAATGATACATGCAATCATCCTGCCTACTATGTACCTTTTATATTTTAAAAGTAGTTCTCGTTTTCTGTACACGATTATTTGATCCAATATTTTATACTGTGTAAATAATAGGTTCATTTCTATTAGGTAAATTCTGTTAAATATTCTGTTGATCTTCTGTACTATAAAATACATAATTTTACCTATTTCTTCCATGCTTATTGTATTCGTATACAATTGATGTAATTTAGCAAATTAAACTAAATGGAACGCACCATTATCCGTTACAGGTGTCTGGCATCCACTGTGCGGTGAACTGACGTTTCCTACGGGACTGCTGTTACCAGCCTGTTCCGGAATTCCTTGCATGGTAACGTTCACATTACTTCCAGTATTATTGACTCCGGCGAGTCCGTAACCGACGTAATAATCTTGTCCAGGTGCTTGAGTGGTCGGCGCGGGATTAGAAGGGCACTTATAGGTCATCATAGTCTCATTCTCCTTATAAACCGTCTCTGGGTGATGCTGTTGGTGATCCTTCACGGAGAAGCCGTCCGTAGCTCTGTATGACAATTGCTCCTGACTCCTCGCTGCATATCCAGGTTCACTTTTAAACGCCACTATTTCTCCGTTTCTGTATACCGATGGTTCTCCAGTCTTGTACGTGACTTCCGTTGTCTTGTATGTTACTTCCGCTATAGGTGGAGTCTTATACGTGGCCTCAGGATAGGCCCAATCCGCAGAGACTGCAGCACCAGGTGCGTACATCGCGTATTCTTGATAATTCTGATACTGATTTTGATATCCATTGGCGTATTCCATGCCCCCAGGTGTTAAATTCTCGTATCCAGGTGTCTGAACGCTCACTGGACCACTTCCAGAGAAGTACTGGGGATACTGAGGTTTCAAAGCTTGACACTTGCGACGGAAACCCCGCGGTCGTCGCCGAAAGCTTCCTTCCTCAAACATGTACTCTGTTGATGGATCAATTGTCCAATAATGGCCCTTTCCTGGTCTTCCTAAGCCTTTTGGAAGCTTGATAAAACACTCGTTCAGACTCAAATTGTGACGTACTGAGTTTTTCCAACCTTGATAAGCGCCACGGAAGAAGGGAAAATGTTGCTGTAAAAATGAGTAGATTTCTGAAAGGGTTAATCTCTTCCCAGGACTTGATTGGATCGCCATTACGATCAGTGCTATATACGAATAGGGTGGCTTCTCCTGGCGGCGTGCTCCAGGCTTTCTTGGTAACTCCGTGCTGGACGAGTTGCACATCAGCGGGTCTAAACTTTGATCCTGATTCAGATTGTTAGTCATCGATAAGTTCGTTCGAGGAACCACGGATGTGGAGTTGGAATGGGCAGCGGTGGACTGATCTTGAAGATGCAGATTCGAGTCAGTCTCGTTCTTCATTGTGATCCTCGCGTTGTCCACGTTACTTCCGCGAGGAGTCGATGGGATGATCACCGTTTGATCCATGGAATCCGTGACCACTCGTCACGCGGTAACCAACATTCTAAAACTTAAACTATAGTCTATTCACTTCACCGTAGGTCGTAAGCAAATACCTTAAAAAGCTAAATTGATATAGCTTTATTCACAATCGTTTCATAAATCCCAATGTAACGTATGCTAGGACAAATATGATATAGGAAGATATTAATGAAATGTCAAGTATCCTTCGAGAGCAACTATGCTTCTACTACTTGTCACTCGCGTCACTCGACCAATTCCTCTCACTCCTAATCGAAACTCCAAATGATCAGTTCGCTATATTTATTATTTATGTATGCTGCGTTGGTCGTTCTTACACGTCGTGGACGAATTCGCGTGGCGGCCACGCGTTTTCGCGCGTAATCACAATAAGAAGGAAGAGGAAAGAGGCCGTTATTTACGTGTGCCCGATGTAAATTGTTTGCACGGTGCCGAACGGTGGGGTCAATTATTTAGACTTGCCACTTGGCAGACGTTGCGCTGATGCGCCGCTAAGTGTTTTCGGATGACTGGATCTCGGGATCAACTCCGGACTTGGTGGAAGCTTGGTACGTCGCGATGACGCGAACCACGCCGTCACGAGCCAGCCTTGTCTTCGGTAGGCGTGATGAAGCATAGGGATGTGGCCTGACTCTTCATTGGTCAACGACCAGTGTACAATATTGAAGCTTTCGTTCACGACCAATGGGAGATGCTTTTGAATACGATGTCACGCCTAATGGAAACAAGCTCCAGATACTAAGAATGACAATCAGGTACGCTGTGATCACTTGATGGGAGATTGTAATGGAAAAGATTGCATAACTTTCGCCATTTTCGCTGTTGCAGACAAATCTCGGTGATGATTACTGGATAGCATCGATTTAATTATCAACGCTGAAGAATTGAGGGAGAAAGTTCCGTATTAATGATAAATGGATACGAATGGAGTAAAGTACTCGATGGAGTAGAAAAAATTACATCTTTGGTCTATGTTGCCATTACCTTAATGAGTTGAATTATATCTGCCTAGTAGAAATGTTTCAAGATGTTGCCTTTGGTGAGATATCTCATGTTCAAGTAAAGTGGATGAACGTGGTATTTTGCACAAAAATTACTAATTTATAGATAATTCTACAGTACCTATATGGCCATCCAGAGTTAACTAGGATGCTCCAATTTGTTCTCTTGTATATTGGTCCTAGGTATTTTTGTTTGTATTAGGTATAAACACTTTGATTAGTTTTTAAAGAATGCAGATATCTAGAAAAGTTCCAAAAATATTGCACGTCACACACTCCTGCATCTACCTCAGCAAGACAAGTATACTATTTTAATTAATTGGAGCAATAACGAATGGTCATTCTTTCGTCTAGAAGTATAATTTTCTGATTTCAATAGATGCTTCCAATGACGACTATACGTGAGCAACAGCTTTTACAATTTCAGAAGTCGGGTTTGTAGACGAAAAAGCTCGAAGACACGATTGGTCCACCTGTTAACCAACGAGATGTTAGAGTTACGCTCCGCCCGATCATAGAACCGCCCTTCATTCTCTGTTCCAGGCTTCTCTTGGAACTTGTGCATCATCAATTATCCTGAAATTAGTGTCGATTATCTGGAAATTTTACCCGTGATGTCAGTTTCCGACAGATCTTGGACGTCATCGCGAACTTCCGTTCGTAGAATACAAAATGTCGGACTTTTACCATTATCCTTTTCCATTCTCGTCGAATTGAGAACAAATATTATAAATTATGTTATTAACATTATATTATAAATCGTGCGTAATATATTTGCATCGACTTCCACATGAAATGAAAACAAATATAATTTGAATTTTCTTGCCCCTTTACGTCTAATGTTACGCAGTGGCAACCACTTAAAGTGACTTCGTTAATTCTAAAACAAAAATTTCATCTTATCATGTAAAAGTAATATTCATTACTAAATGGAAAAAAATGTTATGAATCTCCTTTATTCAGATTAAATTATTATATAAACACGGAAGATTTAAACTATAGAATTTTTACATACTGCCTATAATTTTAAGCGCTCCATTATCGATACTATAGTTAATAATATATGTCACTTTTCTATTTAGAAATCCAAACTCTCTTATCATGGTGTTCTCTATCCGTAGCAGAGTCATAACAGTCCACTTGTCAATTAATTCGTTGATCGCAGTCAATTGAAGAAGAACGTTTATGCATCGGAATACGTGACGGGGTGTCAAGTAACTGGTCTTGAAAGAACTGGAGATCGACACTAGGGCTTATCAGCAAGACTTTAGGTACGTGCTTAACTGTGTTATGATCCCCAAATGATTTCATCAGTACCTATAGGTCTCTCCATTTAAAATTTTAATCAAACATTATAAGAAACTCCGAAAAAAATTCTTAGTCTTATCCAATCTTAAATAATTTTAACATTATTAATCCAAAAATAAACGTACATGTATAACAATGTAAATATCGATGAAAATTTGTTTTTTGAATTTTGTAATTACAGCCATGTAAAATGTGAAATCGAAACCGAAATTCAATCAAAACGAGGGACTAAGTAGTGATCAAAAATGAAGAACAAACCTGAATATTTTCAGGCAACAGTTTACCCTAGTAACTAAATCCCATGAAACAAGGAAACCTGGGAATGGAGTATCGAGAGGGCAATTATTTAATGTCATCCAACGTCTCTCCGGCGATATCGTACGCCCTGTACTCTTTAGACCACGAATTCTCAAGAAGTTTGTTTGGCTTACAGCGAACGATCCGACGAAAGAGAAGCGTCACGGCCATCTTGTCTTTGCCTACTTGAAACCCTGCAACGTGTGTTTCGTGGTTCCCTTAACACTTTGCCATACAATTCAAAATGATTTTTGCTATTTGTTTCTTTTATAAATCCAATAAGAATTAATAATTAATAAGAACATACTCTTAAGATATATTTAGTAGCTAAGAGTAAAAAATGTTCATTATACCTTCACCGAAAGTTATATTTTTCGAGATTTGATTAATTTTGAAATTATTATGAACAATCTAAATTTTAGTTCAATTCAAAATATTGTAGCTCTTACAATGTAGTAGAGGAATTAAAATACTATAGTGCTCTTTCAGACATGTAGGACATTTAGCAGCGGATCACGTGCCTTACGGGTTGAAAGTGAAGTACTAGTCCTTCCAGAGACCACCCTCTGGAGATAGTGGCGCTTAGAAGTGTTTACCAATTTACTGCTTCCAAAATTCCCCGTGACGTTTTCTGCGACAGCTTCAAGTGGCCCTTGGAAAAAAATCTAATTGAGACCTTTGAGTTATCTGAGAAATGAGGAGAAAGCACGTTAAAATGTAGACTAAAGTGTCTACTACTACGTTGCCGAAAGAAAATCACTATCTATGGAAGAGTTTAATAATTATTATGCACCATAAGAAAATAAGCGTTTTAAGCCTGTCTGATGTCCTTTGAAGGCCTCAGAACGACCCATTCTTCCTTTACCAATAAACAACGCGACTCTCGAGCTGAATTGCGACAGTTCCGGATCAGTTTTTTTAAGATAAAACGCGGTACAGGGTGCCGACGACCAAGACCACCCGAAGAAAACCCGTTTCAGCCGCACGTGTTCCCGCAGGAAAACCGCAGACCGGAACCAGACATTGCGACTGCCGATCTCACGTGCACGTTACGTACTTTCTCGTCTGTTTACATCCGGTGGCGTAGCCATTTCGAATTTTCGAGCGATACGCTTTCTATGGGTAGCAAAAATATTTGAAACTTCTAGTTTCAACCAATTTTTTGCATATCCTACAAATTTCCTAGTAATTGTATAATACAAAAAAAGCATTGTGTAACTCCGTTTGTTTGTGGATCTTCCATTTTGAGATTTATCAAGAACAAGTTAATTTTGGTTTCACTGTAATTAGCCAAACAGCTCCACTGCTTCCAATAGATTATCTGCCCAAACATGGTAATCATCAGCCTGAAACTATTCACATTTGTAAATTAAACTATCATTAAAAATCGTATCACAATCGAATTGATAATAGCTGCTTTTTCTTAAAATCTTATCAATTGCATTAAATATTAGATAATATTATAACTGAATATTTTACACTACAAAACTCCAAACGTAGGTTTCTGTGAACAAGCTATGCTTGAAGTCTGGAGAATAAATGTTCTTCCACTCTAATCTCGAATATTTCAAGAGATGTCGAGTAGAAGCATTGCTTCTAGCTCGTAACATTAGCTAATTCGTTCGCGAACTTCCGTTTCGATTCTTCGGCAATTTACGCGATCCGGCTGCTTGACGAGGCCGAAGTTAGAGTCTCACTGCTTGTGGAGAACACGTGAGGCTCTGACGGCCACCCAAGCGGCCATCAGTCGTGCCGACGATATTCTCTGTTTACACAATACCGTAATTTTATACCGCTGATCGTGGGTGCACGTTACGATTCCTACGTCCCTGTCGCATCTTCAACCCTTTGCTCAGCACTAGATCTGTTCGCGTACCTGTACAATCTAAAATTATTTCTCCTTAGACTATTAAATATCCTATAAATCAGATTGATATTTTAGAGAATGATTATTTACAATTATAAATATTTACTTGTTAATGTGCTGTGAGATAACAGAAGATATATTGACTATAATGTGTATTTGAATATATTAGTTAATCTGAGGTGAAAATTCGGCTTCCTTTCAGGAAACGGATATCTTTTCTCTAGTAACGTGTCCATGTTTTGATTGGGTCTTAAACTGTATCCAAGGCAAACAATTTTGTCTCTTCTCTCTTTTGTTGTGCCTCGTCCCGGCCGCGAGGGAACGTGACGCCTGGTAAATGGAAGGGGTAAAATGGAGCAGCACGTGGTTGCCATACTCGGCGCCTTGCGGTTCTTCAGTACCCCAATAATGAATTTAAAATCAGTTTGTTAACCGAAATGAACGACGAATGAATTCAGAATTGACGTAGTAATATCTAATAAATGTTTTTACCTTCTAATACAGCTAATTTCG